TTAAAGTATTTGTCGAAAATGGCTACAAACAGTCTAATCTCATAAAAATCATTAAAGAAATAAAACAAAAGAACAAAAAATCACGTGACTACTAAAAACATTGAAAACATCACCAGTACATAACCAACGATTTCATTAACTTGGGTGCCAATATTGTCTCCCAAATTAAGTACAGTGTTTACGAAGGCAGAATAAAACCTAGAGGCAATATTAACATTAATAAATAAACCAAACTACAAATGAACAGCCACCCAGGAGTCTACCTTATTAAATGTCATTGTAGCAAAAAGTATATAGGTGAAACAAAAATGCATGCAACGACACAAAAAAAGTACAATAGGAAATAAAACAGAATGATCTGCATAAGCCACACACATGAGACATAGTACACAACAAATTAATTGGAACAGTTGCAGAACTCTAAAAGTTGATGCTAAAATGTTTGATAGAAAAGTTCATGAGGCACTTGAAATACAGTACCATCAATGTGCCCCTCAGCAAAATGATATCAATTTAGATGAGGGACAATATATGTATATATATTGTCCCTATGTGTATATATATATATATATATATATATATATATATATATATATATATGTGTATATATATATATATATATATATATATATATATATATATGTATATATATATATATATATATATATATATATATATATATATATATATATATATATATATATATATATATATATATATATCAACCCTCGGAATTAGGGTAGGTATTCGGCAATGCCGACCTTGAAGTGTTTGAGGTCGGCAAAATATTGCCGACCTCGTTTCTATGTTTATGGTAACCTCTTTGTACCAAATTTTTTTTTGCCGACCTTATGCCAACCTCTAACAGTTTGAGGTCGGCAATAAATTGGTGATCTCATTTTCCTAATTATGAGGGTTGATATATATATATATATATATATATATATATATATATATATATATATATATATATATATATATATATATATATATATATATATATATATATATATTGTTTATTTAAAATTTGGTTTATCGTAATGGAGATGATAGTTTGTTTGAGCATTGACAATGATAGTATTTGATGAAAAATGAAAAAAATGCAACCTTACAACAATGGGAGAGGGGTTCAAGCTTGGCAGTTAAAGCAGATCTAACTACCATAGATCATCCAGGTCATATTTTAAAAATCAAGAAAATTGTTTGGGTAAAATATCCAAAAAAAATCTAGAATATATCTTTTATATTCCAGATATTATATTTGCTTTTAGCTAAGTTGTTTCCAAATTTTTTTTCAAACTTTTCCTAATTTTTGTATGAGTGATGAGTGAAAAAACTTAAAAAACTATATTACAAAAATATACAGCTAAACTTATATGTATGGAAAATGTTTTGGATTTTTGGAAAAACTTTTGAAGTTTGAAAAAAATTCTGGAAATATCAGGAAAAAGATAATACCTAAACTACATTTACAATGTGCTTTTAGACTTCATCTGAGAAAATAAATTTGAAGAGGGTTAGTATTCGTCAATATAGAAATATAGAAACATTTTTTTGCAGTTGCCCAAAACAAATTGTGGAAGTCCAGTATTTAAATCCACAAGCCACTGCAAGCCTTAGACTGTTACAGAAGAGAGATGAGATTAAAAACCGGCTGCATGTTCAATGCAATCAAAAAGTGAAGACTTTTTGTAAAGACAAGAATATAAAGTTGAGTCGTCAGCAAATAGAGCCACAAATTTTTCATGAAGATTTTTATTGTAGATAGAACTTAAAGTTCCTTTAAAGTTACTTGAAATAAAGAAGAGCGTACGCCTTCAAGAATAACTTTAATACTGCAGTTAGAAAGAAATAACTTTAAAATCTCAAAAATATCATATAAAGAAACTAATAACAGAGTGAAGACTAATCGTAGGAAAGTCTTCACTCTATTATAAAGAGATCAAAGTGTTTTCTAGAGTTTTGAAAAATTGGAACCACTTATTTAGCACTTTTTAAAAATATAGAAAAGTAAAAGAGAATTCTAGAGAACACTTTTTAAGACTATGATGGAAATCTTGTTAGAAGCCATAGTTATAGTTATAAGCCATAGTGGTTAGAAGCCATATTGTTTAACAATGGGTTAATCTGTTAAACAAGAGTGTTAGATTCAAGAGTTAAATTAAAATAAGATTTCTTTGCAAAAAACTGGGGAGAAGTAAAAAGATTTATGATTTAGAGATTAAATGTTAGTTAATGAGTTGAAGACCGACCATAAGTCTCTAGAACCTAATATTTGAGATAAAATAAAAGATTTAGCAAACTGAGAATAACCGAGCTTAACATCAAACAGGACCTTTATATTATGGTGTCTTAAATTATTAAAAGGACATTTGTTCAAAAGAGAGATGTTCTTGTAAAAAAAAGTTGAAAAATGATTAATATTTACTAAAACAGTTGCTCAAGATGGTGAAAAATGTGGAATAGAATAATGTGGAATAGAAAATGTGGAATAGAATAATGTGGAATAGAAAATGTGGAATAGATGAAGATTTAACTAAAGTCTCTAGAATCTGAGGTATAAAATAAGATTTAGTGAGAATAACAGAGCTTAACATCAGACAGGACTTTTTTACATTGGCTTCTTGGAATATAAAAGGTTGTTTAGAAGAGAAATGTTCTTGTAAAAAAGATTTTAAAAAAATGATAAAGCAACTGCTCAAGATGGTGAAAAAAGCGGAGTAGAATAAGGCTTGACCTAATATTGAAAAGAAGGAATAGAAGTTTTCAAGCTTTTACTCCAGAAGATATACTTAATGGTTTCCATGATGCATTTTGTGCATACATATTATGGGTATAAACATATATGTTTTCTATTTATTTAGATGCTAGCAAACAACATCCTTTCATATTTATATAAACTTTAGTATTTATATGGTGTAGTATTTGCCAAAAGAGAACATAATCAGACGGATGTGTGATATGATTCTAACACGACAAGAAAAGAAGGCATAGTATTAGACAGATTAGAAAAAAACGTTTTTTAAAGAAGATTAAAGTGATTTATGTATCAGCATGTAAAGAGAGCATGTAAAGAGCTTCAGGAAAAAAAATGGTAGTGATAAAAATAAGAGCGCTTTACATTTGTATGAATGATCTTTACTTAAGAAATAAAAATGCACTAGATTGTTCATATTAAAGAAACAGCATAAAAGAGGAAGGCTTAAGCCTGATGATGATGATCATCATCATCATCATCATCGTTATTATTATCATCATCATCATTCCAGAGAAAAGGTCCACGATAAGATATGCAAAATTGAGTTTGTTTACTATTGCAAAAAAGGTTTTTCTAAAATGCTATTATTACGTAGTTTATATTCGTTTTGGGGTTTAATTTTGTAAAGGTTTACAAATACATTGGGGGACATAAGTTCTTTACATTTGTACATAAAACACAAAACATTAAATACATTTAGTTGATAAACATTTAAAACATTCATTTCATTAAAAAGCAGTTCAGAGTTCGAAAAACAATTTTTAAAATCTATTATGCTAGCTGTGTGTTTCTGATGCCGATAAAGAGATTTAAGTTTAATTTTATGTGTACTTCCCCATATAATATTTGCATAACTGATATGACAGTGAATAAAAGAGTAATATAATTGTGTTAATTGCTTTTTGTTTAAAATACCTCTAGATTTGTATAGAATTCCAATGTTTTTTGCAACTTTATTAGAAATATTATTGATGTGTGACTTCCAAGACAGATTTTCTTCAATAAAAACTCCTAAAAATTTTGTCACATTTTCTCTTTTTAGTATGACATTGTCTATAAAAAGATCAGGCATATTTACAGGTAGTATCTGTTTTTTATAGTTTGGATGGAAAAGTATCCATTTTGTTTTTTCAATACTTAAAGATAACCTTTTTTTTTTTAACCAAATTGAATTTTTTTTAAGTTCTCTGTTTATATTATTAAAAAGTAGGTTTATATTTTCATGTGACTGAAACAAGTTTGCGTCATCTGCAAAAATTATAGTCTTTAAATTGGATACTTTGTTAAGATCATTTATCTATATATATAATGAAAAGAAGAAGTCCAAGTATGGATCCTTGTGGGACACCATATGTTATGTTTATTAATGTTTGAGGTTGGGAATCTTTATTAAAAACAAATTGCTTTCGGTTGGAGAGATAACTTTAGAACCAACTTAGAGTTTTACCAGCTATGACACAACATTCAAGTTTTTTAGGCAAAATATTATGATCGATCGTGTCAAAAGCTTTTGACAGGTCAATGAAAACACCAAGTGTAAATTTTTGATTTTTAAAACATTCTTTAATACAACGTGTTAATTGAAGAATAGCATGTTTGGTTGAGTTGTTTTTTTTAAAACCGAACTGATTTTCATAAAGGAGCTTATTGGTAATTAGGTATGTGTACACTCTGTTATACATTATTCTTTCTAATATTTTTCAAAAAACTGGAAAAACAGAAATAGGTCTGTAATTTATTATATTGGTCTAGTCTCCTGTTTTAAAAATAGAAATTACTTTTGCTATTTTTGGAGATTCTAGGAAAGAACCTTGTTTAATGGATGATTTAAAGATTTTGTAAAGAATATTCTCATGACATCATTAGAGTCTATTACAATATTTCCATTTATACCGTCAGGTCCTACTTATTTATTTCTTTTTAACGATCTAAAAGATGTATCATTTTCCTCAAGCATTAGGTTTGTAAAATGTAAGGAGTTTGAATATTATAAATATGAAAATATTTTATATATAATAATATTGAACAATTTTACAATAAATTTTATTGGCTTTAATTTTTATTATACATTATAATCTTTATAAAATATTCCCATATTAATTTATTTATCCAGTAACTTTTTAAACAACTAAAACAACGTTTTTTAATGTTTTTACGTTTTTGCTTGTTTTGCAAAGGCTAAGATGTATATTATATGTTATAATAATTTTATGATATGTTAAAAATTATATTATTAACCAACCTTCATCTGAGTGGTTTACTGTGGGTCTCTTGTTATCAAAAAATGATTCTTTTGTTAATGGAGCTTCCTCTTCCTCTTCATCAATTTTTTCCTCATCTCCAATAAAGGATGATAATGTGTGATGCTTATCTCGACGAAACATAAACTCTGCTTCTAAATTTTAAGTATTTCTAACAAAATTAATTTCTGTTAAAAAAAATACTCTTAAGCATACTAAAATCTAAAATACATAACTAATAGCAGATACTAAAACAAATAACTTAAATAAAAAAATTATAGTTTTTAAAAAAAAAAAAACTTTAAAATACATAACAACAAAACTCTGCTACATGTATAAGAAAAACAAGTAATAATCAACTCTAATCATTTTCTGATTTGTAAAGCTATTTATGACTTAACCATGCACTCCACTTTATGTATTCCTTTTCTAAAAACTTTTAATCATTTCTATGGGCATATACAATTTTTTGGTATAACACATTTGCATAACGCCTAATGGTAACAAGTTTCAACAATTTGTCTACTTTGATTTTAAATGGAATTTTTAAAATAATATATTTTAAATGGTTTACAAATATGTTGATTGTTTAGTCATATAACAAGATATAAACATTGCTAGATAAAAAACCTGAGAGGTTTCTTTCAACATAACATACTTGCCATTTTTATTCCTGAAACAATTTATTACGTCTATAAGTCTGAGATTTGTTTGGTTCTAACTAATTTACTTCCATTAAGACTGCAAGCAACCACTATTTAAGTTGGGACCAGACCACTAGGGACCAGAAAACAAAGAATATTGTAAAATAGCAAGAAAAACGTTAGCAGAAGAAAAAAACTGTAAATTTTTTAAGTAGAGAATACATGAAGACAGGAAAAACTTCAGAAACAATAATAAGCAAGCAACTATAGATGATTAAATGATTTTAGAACATGGATCTAAAATAGATGCAGTAAATGAGGAGTCACACAAGATTGAGTTTTGGTGAATAGAGCAAGACATAATAGCTCGCTTGATCAACAACCATTTTATTATTTGTAAAAAAAAGTGGAGAACTACTTGCAATCCACAACCACACAAAATGTTCTTAGACATTTTGGCAATTAAGCAATAATTAAGCAATAATAATAATTTTAAATAAAGCAGAAATAATCAAATTAAAATGAAAGAGAAAAAAAAAACTTGCAGAACTTGAAGTGAGAAAAAAAAAAAATTTCAAAATATATTATTTTTTCTCACTTGAAGAGTGAAAAAAAAGACTTTTTTTGAGAATAGCGTTCTGGAAAACAGAACGCTTTTCTCGTTTTAATTCTCGTAACTATTTAATAGCGCTTAACGAAATCTTTTTTTTTCTGCTGAAAAATGGTATCCTTTTTTAAACACAGAACTTTTTTAACACAGAAAATAAATTATAAGTAAGTTATATTGTCAGAAAGTAAATTATAAGTAAGTTGTATTATCAGAAGGTAAATTATAAGTAAGCTGTATTGTCAGAAAATAGAGTCACTTTAGATGTAAGAAAGTTCATTAATATAGATGAAAAATGTTACAGAACAAAGGATGAAACCTTGAGGTAACTCAGAAGTTACTTTAAATGAATAAGTGTGCTGGCTTTCAAAGATAACTTTAAAACTGCTATATTTAAGTCGTCAGATTTAAATACCGCAGTAATAAATATGAAAACATATAAAGAATAAAACATATAAAGATTTTGAAGCTTTTGGAATTGTCATGTTAAACTTTATAGAAAGATTTTTTTCAAGAGTTATAAGCCTTGTTTTGTTTTTTGCCTACATCTAATGCAGGCTAGACTTTGCTGATTACAGAGAAATGATTGGACAATAGTTTGAGGAGTGTTCTAATGAGTTTTTATACTGAGAAATTATGAATGGAATGTTGGCAGTTAAAATGTAACATTGTGGAGTGAATATTGACTAAGAATAAGACAGACTCTATTTCAACAAATATAAGTTTAAAATAAATAATTCTGGTTTGCTATAAGCAGACCTTGTTATAAAACATCGGACAAAGAGCATTTTAAATACGCAAAGATCGATTTTAGGTTAAGCTATTTGCATTACGCTAAAAACTTTTTTGTTTGATAATATTTAAACAACTTGTTAGGTATTTTTAACTTGTTAGTTTTTTAAGTTATGTTTGTTCAGGTATTAGAAATACATTACAACCGGCAATAAAACATTACTTCAAAAATTTTACTTTTAACTAACTTAGCTTAGCTTCTATATAACAATTGATGTTATCACTTGACAGATGCTGCGTCTGTCAAATGATAAAATTTATTTAAAGTATTTACGCCTAAAATAAACTAGCCCATGTATAAAATCTATTTCTCATAATTAACCATGGTTTAACCTGATTGATTTTAACTTTTAGGATGACTATTACTATATACTGTTTAATAAGCAAATTTTACTTTACCAGAATATAATGTTTATATTTTACTTTACCAGAATATAAGGTTTATATTTTACTTTACCAGAATATAAGGCTTATATTTTACTTTACCAGAATAAAAGGTTTATATTTTACTTAACCACAATATAAGGTTTATATTTTACTTTACCAGAATATAATATTTTACCAGAAATAAAATTCCTTGCATTTTACTAGAAATGAAATTCCCTGTAAACATCAAAAATACGCACAAAGCATACATCAAAGTTGTTTAAATAACACAAGTGTTAGCAACACATTTTAATAGCACAAGCATACATTAACTATTTTGTAAAAAAAAATTTAATTTAAAATTGCTGGTAAAAAAAAAAAAAGTTTTTTTTCTTAAAATATTTGTTTCTCTTTTTTTACTTGCTGACTTCTTAAAAATAAAAAACAATTGTTTCAATCTGTTAATACCTACTTACAGAATAAAACAAAATCTTTATTATTTATTTAGTTATAGACAAAACATGATTGTGTCAAATGCCAAAAAAATAAACAAATATTGATATATTTTTAATAAAGCGGAACCTAAGTGAACATTCAATAACATTATTACATAATAATATTTTTCAAATTGTTATGAGTTAATTATTCAATTAAACTAGTTTTGCAGTAATTTAGTAAATTTCCGTAGTTCAAAAAAGTTATTGACAATAAATATGAAAAGCAAATAAAAAGAAGATTATAGTCTGCAAATTCCAATTAAGGTGGAAAAATTTTTTAGGGAGACTGTCGCCAATGGCTCACACCTCCCTAAAAAGTAGTTAGCAACTCTGATTTTACTGTTAATTTAAAAATGTTGAAGGGTGGGTGACCATTATCCATTAATTTTTATGTAGGAGAGCACAAAACATAATTAAAATAAATATTTTTATTGTCCTTCATGAAAACCAGGACACTAGTTAAAAATTAAACAATTTTTCACATCCAGTAGATGAAACAAAATATATTTACCTGTAGCAGGTGAAACACAATAGTCTACTTCATCTAGAGATCGCCCACCAAAATCTTCACAGAGCTCTAAATAACAAACTATTTATGTTATTTTGAAATATTTGGTTATTTCTAAATAATGATTTGACAGAAACAAATAAATTTTGGTAAATTTCAAAATGATGTATTGCAAATAGTGTACTTTAACAAACTAAATTAGAAGTGAATTTAAAATCTTGATTTTTGTTAATTCTACAAGGATTTTAATTTTAAGCATCAAAATGATCGATTGTACCCCATCGCTGGGGTACTTTCAACCATATGATTATTTATAAAATAATAAACTATTTTAATAAATGTGTATATATATGTATATATATACACATATATATGTGTATATATATGTATATATATACACATATATATATGTATATGTATATATATATATATATATATATATATATATATATATATATATATATATATTATATATATATATATATATATATATATATATATATATATATATATATATATTCAGCGCAAAATGTGATATTACTTTTTTTCAGCACAAAATGTGATATTACTTTTTTTCAGCACAAAATGTGATATTACTTTTTAAAATAAGACAAATTTTTTAATTCTATTTAAAATCATTTTATTTTTCAAGATATGTTTCGACTATATATAGTCATCATCAGTTAAAATACATTTGTTAAAAACGGTATAAAATATTGTAAAAAAAAAAGATTTATCAAAAATTATTTTAACAAATGTCAAATATAACAAAAGAAACCGGTAAATCATATTAAGTTATGAGTCATTTTCATTTAATATGATTTACCGGCTTCTTTCGTTATACTTGACATTTGTTAAAATAATTTTTAATAAATCTTTTTGTATAATAGGAAGTTTGTTTACAATTTTATGGCTTTTATTATGTTTATTTTTACAATTATATACTATATTTTATACCATTTTTAACAAATATACTTCAACTGATGATAACTATATATAGTCGAAACATGTCTTGAAAAATAAAATAATTTTAAATAAAATTAAAAAAATATATATATATATGTATATATATATATATATAAATTTATATATATATATATATATATATATATATATATATATATATATATATATATATATATATATATATATATATATATATGGCTGAAGCCACTAAAAAACTGCCAGCGCCTTTGTTCCTTTTAGTTTTCAATTCAATTTATCAATTGTGTAAAAGATTTCTAAAATTTTTTTTTTTTTATTACCTTCGCTTCCAACAAGGCTGCAAGCAACCACTAATTAGTGTTGGAAGTTGCTGGAAGAAAAAAAAAAGAGAAATGGTCTTCCGACCATTCCTAATTCTATTAAGAATGGTCGGAAGACCATTTTTTTTTTTTTTTTTCTCTATCCGACCATTCTTAATTCTCTTAACTCAAATATATCAAACCCATTGATTTATCCAGATTTACAATTAATCACTATATCATCATATATGTCATTAAGAAAGGGAGTTTAAATTAAAAAATGTTAGCAAATTCAACACTATTTAAATTTAACTAGTTTAAGCAAGGTTCAGTTTCAAACTTCAAGTTAATAAAAAGTGACTGGAATAGCATTAGAAATTATCAGTATCAACTATTAATTATGATTAAAAAGAAAAAACATGTATAGACATGTGAAAAGTAGCTAAAATCAGGAATTAAGCATAAAACCATATCCATAATTGATTGACAAATCATCAAGATGATGAAAATAAGTTTTATTATTGCCAAAAGCGTCGAGCTCTATTGAAAAAGAATTTTGTGATCAAATTATTTTCTAGGTGAATCAATTGAAAGAGAGTCGATTTAAAGCTTAGTTACATTTTTGAAAAAATATGTAAACATTCATTCTAAAGAAAAAGTTTTGTAGACTTCACAAAATTTAACTTTGACAAGTCAAAATTTGATAATGTGAGGTCTAATATAGCCTAAAAATTATGAAGAAAGATAGGTTAAGGATTTACACTCAACAAAACAGTGTCTCAAAAAAGAGCTAAAGATTCCTAAAAATTTGGACTCAAATTGATCCAAATACAACAAAAAATATAGTTAAATAAATTCAAAATCAACTCACTAAAGTCATTAAAGTTAAAGGTAATTCAACTAATATTAAAAATCAAAAAAAATTATTTTAATAAATAAAAACTTTTTTATTTTTCTTAAATATGTATAAAGATCTGTAGATATAAAATTTTACAAAAAACATTTTATATTTTTTTTGAGAGGCAAATGTAATAATATATTACTTAAAAATTTTTTAAAATTTTAATTTAATTTGTATATTTGCTAATCTAATATAAAGCTAATTAAAAATGAAAATATAAAATCTATAAACATTCAATATATTTAGGATTGATAACTTCTCAAAATTTAAATAAAAGTGAACAATCAAAGCAATAATAAGGTTTAAAGTAATAAATGTAAGATTTTTATTAGGTAACTAGTCAAAAGTGTAAACTATATATATAATAGATATGAATTTAACATTTGCACAAATAATTTACCATCTTCATAACTGATATTTCGAATATTACGGTGTCGTGACATTATGGTTAATTTTTATATCTGAAAGCAAGAAAAAAATTTTTAAAAATCTATAATTAAGATATTTTTAACTTATGATACTCATTAATTTATTTATATTGTGAAGTGAATTTAAAATAATATTAATAGGTTTCAAAGTTAATAAAAGTATTTATTCCTTATAAGTCCCTCCTGCAATTCAAGATTTTTGAAAAATATAAAAAAAAAATTTCTAAATTTTTTGACAACTTTGCCTAACAATACAAATAAATTTTAACATAAAACTTAAAAGCAGATTGAAATCAACATCCAAAATTTTTTACGAATAGCATGCTATTTGATTTTTAGATTCATTTTTGTTTATTCATTTTAAGACATCTTAGACTTGTTTACAGTAATGGTATGCTAGCATAACATTAATGTAATTAAGTCAAAATTGTCTAAAAGATTATCTTCTGTACTATCTTCAAGATAGTACAGTGAATTATGTTTATCATAATTTTTGGGCAACCTCATTTATTAAACTGATTGTTTAGCTTTTTTTTCATCAAAAACAAACTTTATTTTAATACTTGGACAATTACTAACGATTAGTATTACTAATAGTAAGATTTTGATTAGTAAGACTTTGATTAGTATGATATCGCTAGCGCTAGTTGCAAATTCTCTCCCCTTATTATTATTTTATATATATATATATATATATATATATATATATATATATATATATATATATATATATATATATATATATATATATATATATATATATATATATATATATATATATATATATATATATATATATATTTAATTTATTGATAATAATAGAGAATTTTATTTTGATTATTATTCATTTAAAAACATAGATATGAAAACCAACGGAAGGCACTCTAATCCGACAAGAAAACTCTAATACTTCCAAAACTCTAATACATCTGAAGTACGCAAGGATACCGGTTAAATTTCTTAATAAAAGAAAATCTTAAATAACCTGGTTTTCATTGTAAAATTTAGTTGAAAAATTTTAAAATTTTAACCTAAAATGTTTTTGGTAATTGTCTGTTTGTTTAATATAAGCTTTTATTTATAAGAATCAGAGTATTTTTAAGTGTTGAATTTTTATTATACGTTAATTTTTAGTACAGCAGCGGCATCACACACCAAGGGCCGGTTTTATGCACGGTCACACGTGGTCAAGGGCCGGTTTTATCCACATCACGCACTGAATCTACAAAAGAAATAAATTCTCTTGCCGATTACATTCTAAATTCAGAAGAGTGACAATTTTTTTGCACTTTTTTAACTTTTTTCAAAAAGTGCAAATACATGTTCTCCATCTATATACTTAGCTTACTAGGATCATTCGAACAGGTAGATGTATTTTTTCCATAATTTAAATATTTATCATTTTTTTTCAACATACTAAAAAATGTATGTAAAAAAGCAAATGTTAGTATAATTACTGTTTTATATTATTAGTAATATTGACTTCTATCTTAGATAATTAAAAAAAGAGTTTATCAAATAAAACATGTTTTCATTTACAGCATTATATAACAATATCTATTTCAAATTAACAAAATCTTTCTGATAAACATTTGAAAAAAACTTTGAAATCTGTTTTCGATTTTCTCGTACAACTAGCAAAATATTTTGTCTCTGATCCTCAGAGTGTGAAGAGTTCACAAATTTTTGTATAAGTCGAATGTTTTTTTCAGAACAATCATTTGTGACAGAGTTGTTTAATAAAAACGACAAATTTCTTGTACAAGGGTATTGACTCTAAAGTTTTTTTATTCTGGTATGCTTCCAACCAAACCTTTGTTTCCTTTACTAAGTCCAAAACGACAAAAAGAAACCTGCTCTCAAAGGTAACAAGTTCATAAAGTTTGTATTTTCATCTACTAAAACAGGATGTGACTTCTCTTTATTAATTTCACTAATGTCAGGAACCACGTGTTCCAACAAGACCTTCAAAATGTCTGACTGTATTTGAACTTTAAGATCAAAATCAGTGCTATGACTACTGCTTTAAGCAAAAGATACCAGGAGTAAGATTTTAAACTATTTAAAAGTGAAGTTCCTACATCAATATTCCATTCCTCCTTTATGATTTTTGCTACTTTGAATGAATTGAAGTCATCCAATACTGAATGTTCAGCAAGACTGGATTTTTAAAACCGTGGAACATAAAATATAACAATCACTAGACAAACTTTAGAGACTAGAATCTGCTGGTCTTGATTTAAGTATTTTATAACTGGCAATGTCAATTCCAAAGCCATGTGATATAATGCATCTGCCATGAATCTAGCTTCATAACAGGCATCTGGTTGATGAATCCTAAAGTTCTTTAGCTTGTCACACTAAATATTAAGATAGAAAGCTATGTATTCCACAAGATGTCTGTAATCATCTCGGGGGGAAGTCTCAAATTCAAGAACAAATTTAATATATGTTTTCGCCTCCAAGTTCATTTGATGAATTCCAGAACCAATTATGAGAGTACTCTCACCAAACTTTTTAAAACTAGAAGAGACACCATAATTAGATAAAAAAAAAAAGGGACAAAATTTTTCCATTGTTTCTTAAAGTTGGAGTAAAGGGCCTTTCGTGGACCCTTGGTGTTATCTCAAGTTATAGATTTGTAAATATGTTTTACATGTATTTCATGTATGTGGTGTCGACATAATAGTCACAATAAAGGTTTCTGAAATACTCTTGTCAATATTATAATTGTACCATCTTTTCTACCAGTGTTGGTTGCTGTAGTATCAACACAAACAGCACATACTTGGTCTAAAACTTCAAAATATTCTAAAAAAATTTTGAATTACTAAAGCCTGATCAGATGCTTTACCTGTGTCACTTGGAACAATTCCTAAATAAAGATCGTCCTTGTGTTGAAAGTCAGGACTAGTAACAGACAATTCTATCTCTTGAAACTGTTTGATGGATTTCCTTATACAAATAAGTAATTAGTTTGCTAAGTAAAGAAAAGATTTTTTCCTCTCATTTTCTCGATATAATTCTATCAAATTTCATTTCTGTGATTTTGGACAGCCTCATAACGCTAATCTGACTGTTTCTCTATTTATCTTATTTTTTTAATATTTACCCCAAGGTAGTTCATAATACTAGTTATAAACATTGTTTGATCTCGGTAGCTTAAACCGGTCCTTACACTGAGAGGAGCTGTAGGTGCAATTAGGCCTTCTCTAGAAATTTCTTTATTGACAAGGACTGAAGTATAAGTGGTATGTCGTTAATTTTCTTTTTTTTTGTTGTTGCTTTTTTTGATGTTTTTTGTTAATATTCATTCTCATAAGATTTATAATTAGTATTACCTACCATCAATGCCAGATTCGAAAGATCTTCAATAATATTAACAAAAAATGAAAATAAAAAAGTACACTCGCAGTTTATTATATAAAGTAATATACAATACACATGTAAAATATACAATTTAGATTTTTCATGATAATAATTATAATTGATTCTAATATCGATTTGAATAATTTCCATCAGGGTTTTTTAATTGAGGGTTCTAAATCTGAGTAACCGTTGTTCTGGTCATTATAATATTCAATCTTTATTGACATTTTTTTCTTATAATCTATATATCTACAGTATCTCTCTTGTTTACGTACAATCTTTTCTTCAAGTTCTTTATCTATATGCCCGCTTATAAACTGTTTTCTAGCATTTTTCTGATTTTTCAAAAATGCTAAATCTTCCTCCTTACTCTCTTTGTTTCTTGACATATCTTGACTGAGTTGTATAAGCTCATTAATATTGGGTTTTCCAATGTCAAAAATAGTCTCCATGACTGCTTGAAATTCCTTAACTAACTTTATTTTCGTGTCATTTTTCCAAACTAGCAATTTTCCCTTGGTCATAGATTTCCGTTTTTTGTGAAGTTTCACAAATTTTGATAATATTTTATTCTCTCCAATAATATAGTTTTTAAAACCACAGGACTCCCAGATGTTCACTATTTTTCTAAGAAGACCTAAAACTCCATTTTCCTGATAACACGTTGTTTTTCCTTTGCATTTCATGTAAAAATTTGATCCCATAGGACAAGGAAAATTATCATAAATACTTTTGAATCGTTTTGATCTGCTGCTGATTAAATATTGATAATGTCTTAGAAGTAACCCATTTGTTTGAAGTTGATTCAGAGGTAAAAAAATTGTCACACTAATATTCAGCCCTCCTTATAAACTTCGTAGGAGTGAGTGCCGTGGAACTCAACTAGGTTGTTGTCAATTTCTTTGATTTTCAACAAGAAATTTATCACCTCTTTTGTATATCAGCTCATCAATGGATTGTCTTAATGGCAGTGTCGGAATAAAAAAAACCGGGGCTCTAGGCACTAATACTTTTGAGGGCCCCATTTTTGCATTATAAAAGTTATTTTTGTAATATTACGTAAGATTAGTAAGATTATTAAGTAAAAAAGTACGTAGGAAGAGTTGCCGATATTGGAACAGCGTCTTAATTGGAACACTTGTATTTATTTTTGAAAAAAATGAATTATGGCTATATTTTGCATTTTTTTAGTAAAACGCATTATTTTCTACGTTATGACACATTTTTAAAGTTATTCTTCCAAAAATGCGTTTGCACGATTTAAAGTTTTTTTGCGTCATTTTTTTTGCAGCGATCTAATTTTGTGTTCACGCTATATTGATTGTGCTGCGTAAACTATGGTGCCACAGGTTATACCGTTTTTTGTGTTTAATTCGATGGGATTTAAAAGCCAAAATAATAATATAAATTTATCTTATAAGTTGCTGCAAGCATGTTATTGTAGTGATATAACAAAATAGTCGAAAGTTTCCTTGATTGGAACGTTGAAGGTTTCCTTACCTAATCAGTAGTAAAATCAAAAGATTATAAAAGTAGTTCGAGTGCAATTTAAAAAATACTTAGTAACAACCATAAACCTTGAAAATAACACGTTATTTAGTGATTTTTAATCAATAAATTTAGAGAACGTCATAACAGTAGAAGATTTTTACAATTTTTTGTTTGTAGACTTTAAATTTATCAGGGTAATACTAATTCTATAATAAGTTTTGATTTAACTGTTAAAATTTTCACAGTAAAGATGAAAATCATTTTTTACAAATTTTGTTGATTTTACTGGATTTTTTCTTTTAAAAAAATAACCTGTTCTGATGAAGGAACCAAAGTGTTCTTCACTAATTTAGGGAACCAGTTGCCTTGATTGGAACAAAATGGTAACTTTGCAAAAACAAATTTATTTCCAATAACAGTGCAATCAATTAAGCCAAATTGTGGCTAAAAGTGTAGTAGGAATGTCTATTTGTATTAATCAAATCATAAATGTTTTCATAATTAAGCCATCTTTGGGTAATAAATATTTATTCCTTAAGAATAAATATTTATTACCCAAAAACTAAGACAACTCTCACCTACATTCATTAATATAATAATTACAAATGCACACAATGCTTTTCTTCATAAATATAAAAAATTATGTGATACATCTGGTGAGTATTATTAGATGTGATACATCTGGTGAGTATTATTTTTTTAAACATACTACTTTTTTTTTCTAAATATATTTTACATATCTTTCTTAACGTTTATAATTAGGACATTTACAAAAACAACTTATAAAAGAAATCACAATTTACGCAATCGACATTATTATACAATGTGCTTTTAAATATTTTTTTCCCTTTATCTTTTATCGATAAAATTGTTTATTATATCATCAAAATCGATCTCGCAAAAAAAAAAAATTATTCGATAGACATCAAGCTCAGCATGTCTAATCTCTCGTGAAGAATGGTATTTCTCTGCTTATTTTTAATTCGTTTTATTTTTGAAAACGAGCGCTTCGCAGAACAATTTGTAATCATGTGTTAAAAAAATGCGAAGAGCAATTTCGACTTTCGGAAAACAGATGCAAGGTTGTCATGAACCAAAGTTTTGTAAAGTTCAGAATTAGAGAACTGAGGTTTTGATGCAAATGTTAATTTGACGTAGCTGTGATATTGTCTCAATTCTGTATAAAGTAATATTCTATATATAAGTTTTTAGAATAAAAATCAACCAAATTAGAAACCTTCTGTCGATAGTCATTTTCCGAAAGTTCAAAGTTAGCCAAAAAAGAAAACATCTTCGCAACCTTTAAATAAACTTAGCTTCGCTCATTAATCTCTTTCTTAAAACAATTAATAATTACTATAAACACGATGATAAAAAAATTATTTCGAGCAGGTAATACCATGTACGGAGCATGAAGTTTTTTAGAAGTTCTTCTTTTAGGCAAATTCGCGTTGTAACAGTTGCACAGTCAATACCTGGCAAAATTAATTTTGTTTTGTTTTCAAACTTATCAAAATTTTCTAACGATGAGAACATCAAAGCATAAGTTTTGAGATCAACTTGTTCTGACTGAAGAGCTTTGCTTGTCGATCGAAAGATAATTAAAATATTGCTCCACAACTCGAGCATGAAGACAAATTCAAAGTTCCCATTTAGCTTTGTGCCTAGTTTCACTTTTTCGAGAGATCTTCAGCAATCTAATTCAATGCTGTCAAAATTGCTTTAAAAGAATTGAGAACTGCTCGGGTGGTATTTGCGTGAGCCTTCCAACGCGTTTTTGATAATGCTTTGAGTATTTTTTCGTTCCCGATGTGTTGTTTTAAGACATCCCAGCAGTTCGACGAATTTGAAAAAATACGTATACAATAGTTACACGATAGAAAAAAAAATTAACTGCAAACAAGCAGCGTTGTGAAGAAGTTGGTCCAACTAAGTTCAACGAATGCGTAGCACACGGTATATATACCGCATGCTCATTGAGATTAGACATTATTGCTTGCATCACTCTGTATTCTCCCAACATATTTGACTAATATTTCTTGCATTATGTGAAATCGCACTTTTTCTCCCATTATATTTATCAACTCCTCGCATAACTTTTTTGATTGGTGAGATGGATTTCCTTTACTTTTATACGCATATGTTGCAATGTGATTTTTTTTAAAATGGATCAAACTGAGTCATAAGTTCTAGCAAACCCTAATAGTTCCCATTATCTGGAACACCAAAATGCTCGTTTGTTCTGCAAAAAGGTAAACCTCGTTCAGATAACGATATAATGACTTTTATAAAACGTTTCAATACTTCTTTCCAGTAATTTTGCTTCGTTAGGAATTGAAGTTGAAAGGTGTCACATACAACAGAGCTTTGTTTTCTCCAAATATATGTCAACATGCATTCTCTGAGAAGAGATCCATTTTTATGTTGATGTATTTGATAAATATTCTTTTAATCATTAAATCCACCGCTGTTGAGTTTGTTTAATTTTTCTTTAGACACAAAAGCTTTACAAAGGAAACAGTACATACAACCAGTTGCTGGGGAATAAATGAGCCATTCTCGCAAAAACCTTTAGTCATTTGCTTTTTTCCCATAAAATGTGCTCTCTGAACAATACCATGTCTTGGATTCTGTATTGTAAAATCTACGAGAGCACTGAAATGGTTCTGAATAATTTTGACACTCGTGTAGACCATGGATAATCCAAAAACTAACGTCATCTTTATTAAAATTGCCCCACAGAACGACAGTCCTTCTCAATAGTAGATTCATTTCCGCAAGTAAGAGAATCATATCTAACTATGTATTGCTCAAGATCATTCGAACAGCTATCATTCTGAGGATTAGATTCATTTTGATGAGCAGCAAAATCGTTGCTGTCGAAATGATCAATTTTATCTGTTTGTGGTTGAACCTACAAATTTACTAACACTGCTATAAATATCCATTTCAAAATGCTTAGAATTTAATGAAACATACAATAAGTAATAATTAATTTTTTCAAAGGGTGACAGAGATGGGGGAACAGACCCTTGAAAAATAAAGTTAATTTCGGAACTTTTGCTAAATCAGCAGCATAATTGATTTTTTTTTCCCCTCTACTTTTCTTTTGTTCTATGATAATGCATAAATAAATAACTGTCAATTTTCATCTTGAATTAAAAATTGAAAATATTTTAACAAAGTCCGACTTAATCAGAATATTTTAACTTATCTTCAAAACATGGATTTTTTCCTGAAGAACTAAATAGTGCAAAGGTTACAACAGTTTTTAAAACAGGTGATCCTTCTGATGTTTCCAACTACAGACTGATCTCAGTTCTTAATTATTTTTTCAATATTTTGGAGCGTGTAATATATAATAGACTTTATTCTCTCTTATATTTAAATAATATTATTTTCAATAAACAATTTAGGTTTGAGTTCGCTCATTCGACCAATCATGCAATAATTAATCTTGCACATGAAATATTTAAAGCTTTTTATGAAAAGAAATTTACTTTAGGTGTCTTTATTGATCTAAGCAAAGCGTTTGATATCGTAGGTCAATATTGGTAATATTCTTCTATTTAAACTTATGATATCATCAATTATAACTTGGATCGGTTTAGAAGTTATTTAAAGAATAGGAAACAATGCATTTTATATGATGGCAAAAAAACAGATTTAATGACAATTAACTGCGGAGTCCCCCAAGAATCAATTATAGGACCGCTTTTATTTCTCATTTATATAAATGACTTGAGTAAGTTTTCCAATATCTTAAATTCAATTTTATTTGTCGACTAAACTAACGTATTTTATTCCAACAAAGATAATAACGATACTAACGTATTTTATTCTAATAAAGATTAATATTTTATTTGCTACAAAGAACAAAGAGCTTGCAAAACTAAGCGAATGGTTTGTATCGAATAAATTGTCCATAAATATTAAAAAAACAAAACATGCTTTCTTCCGTCGTCATCATGATAAAGACAACATTCCCTAAAAACTTCATAAGCTTTTTATTAATAACAAAAGAGAACGTTCTTTGTTGTTTCTTTGTGTAGTTTTAGATGAAAATGTAACGTGGACGGAGCACATATGTTTAATCCAAAATAAAATCTCAAAAATTATAGGCTTTCTATACAAAGCGAAAGAGTTATTATAGCAAAATACTTTATTTTTATTGCTATCTAAATTACGCTAACGTTGCTTGGTGAGGGCTAATGTATCTAAAAATAAAAAGCTTCTAATTCAACAAAAACACGCAATAAAAGTTATTGGAAATGTGCAGGCCCACCCAGAGCTTTTCTGTTGCCCGGGTCCAAAAGTTTAATGGATGCCCTATCATATTTCAGTTCTTTAAATGAAAAATAGCAAAAAAAAAATAGTATAGCTATTTTTGGTTTACTTTCATAGAAAACCTAAAATCACATTTAATTCATTTTAGTTTATAAAAACAAAATGGTAAAATCTTACGCTAAAGTCTTAATAGACGAACAATTCTTCCTGCCCTACTTAGCGGCAAAACTTGAAGTAACTTCTTCATAACTAATGTTATTGGATAAATTTGATTCAATTGAAAGGATTATCAAGTAGCACAATTGCTTCTTACCCATTGTGAAAATATAGATTGCAGCCTCTTTGCATAAACCTTATTTAAAAAATGAACTGGCTTTTCGCCGGCTAGAATATTTCTTGTTACGGAAAAAAAATTCCGAACTTCATCAGAAAATTTGTTTTTACATAAGTCTTCTGGGTAAAGTTTAGCCAGATTATCAGCTTTTAAACCTCGTTCTCTGTCTGTTTGAGATTTCTGTGAAAAGAAAACTTGTTATATTTCTTTAAATCGTATTTGATTTGTGTGTGGTTCAATGAAGATTTAATTGATTTATTTGATTGTGTGTGGTTCATTAAAGATTTGATTGATTCATTTGATTGTGTGTGGTTCATTGAAGATTTGATTGATTCATTTGATTGTGTGTGGTTCATTGAAAATCTGATTGATTCATTTGATTGTGTGTGGTTCATTAAAAATTTGATTGGTTCATTTGATTGTGTGTGGCTCATTGAAGATTTGATTGATTCATTTGATTGTGTGTGGTTCATTGAAGATTTGATTGATTCATTTGATTGTATGTGGTTCATTGAAGATTTGATTGATTCATTTGATTGTGTGTGGTTCATTGCAGATTTGATTGATTCATTTCATTGTGTGTGGTTCATTGAAGATTTAATTGATTCATTTAATTGTGTGTGGCTCATTGAAGATTTAATTGATTCATTTGATTGTGTGTGGTTCATTAAAAATTTGATTGGTTCATTTGATTGTGTGTGGCTCATTGAAGATTTGATTGATTCATTTGATTGTGTGTGGTTCATTGAAGATTTGATTGATTCATTTGATTGTATGTGGTTCATTGAAGATTTGATTGATTCATTTGATTGTGTGTGGTTCATTGCAGATTTGATTGATTCATTTCATTGTGTGTGGTTCATTGAAGATTTAATTGATTCATTTAATTGTGTGTGGCTCATTGAAGATTTAATTGATTCATTTGATTGTGTGTGGTTCATTGAAAATTTGATTGACTTATTTGATTGTGTGTGGTTCATTGAAGATATTATTTAAAAGGTTTTATGATGCTTCTTTGTTGTAACTAGCAGTTTCTTCAGGAATGACCTTCTTTTTGCGTTTTCTTTACAGCAAACATAATTGCATTTAATTTTGATTTCTTTGCAGCTTTTGTTGCCTCTATCAAAATCAGGTCTCAAGACAAACATATTCAATCCAGAACCGTCAAAAGGCCATTAAGAACCTTACTTTATCATCGAAAATGAGTTGAGTGGATCAAAGCAGAAAACTCACGTTGTTAACTGCCATCAAACAATTAAACCAAAAAGTAGTGAAAACAAAAAAATTAAAAGAATTTATTCATTTTATTAGATAATGCACTTTATTACTATTTTCGATATCTCTCTTGGCTTTTTTCGCTAGTGGGTTGACTGCTTCAATCTTTGAGCTCCATTGTGTAACAGAAAGTTTATGTAATGATTGGCTTGTCTACTCCTGAAAAATTCTCCAACGAACTATGCTGCAGCTGAACAGATTGTATAGTTTTTGAATATTTCCAAAATAGGATTTTGCAGGAGCCGATGATTTAATAGCGTGCACTGCACATAGGTTCAAACTGTGAGCAGCGGAGGGAATGAAAATTGCTTGTGAATTATTCTGCCTGTATAAAACCTGACATATTAGCACCATTGTCGTAGCATTGACCACGACAATTTTTTATGTTGAATTTATTCTCTTCCAACACATTCAATATCAACTTTGTTATATTAGATCCTTTCTTATTTCAAGTTATTTTAGCTAAAGTAACCTTCTTTAAGCTCCCACAACTAATTATCACTGAGATGCAAAAAACAAAAAATGAAAGTAATTTGACCGCTGTGGGACGAATTGGGAGTGCTGTCCGTGATAATAATAAAATATACTGATTTTGGATTTTTCGAATAACTTCTCGAACCACTAATTTGCCGCATTCCTCGATAAATTCATTCTGTGATTTCCAGGATAAGTAATGAGCTTGTATGCATTTTTCTTCTTCTTGATACTTAGCAATAAAATGCATATGATCTTGTAACGTTTTATTGTGGTGAGCAATTAATTCGAACGCTTCAAGAAGTTTCCATTCCCATTTTTGAAGAACTTTTGATTGGATTCTAATTACAAACAAAAAATAATCAAAATAGTAATCCATATTTATGTCCAATTATAACTTATAATTTTGATTTTTAAGTTACAATTTAAATAATAGAGAATATAATTTAAAGTTTAAACAATATCCTTACCTCTAAAATCTAAATTTATTGAAGCTAGAAAAAGCGACGTCAAGTATGCATTATAAAATTACCCTCCATCGCTTTGTTTCATCTCAAATTTTGATTCATCTCCAACAGTATGTAAAATTTGACAGTATGTAAAAAGAATTTTTACATACTGTTAAATAAAATAAAAAATTTATTCCACGCTCTTTACTTAATTAGGCAAACAAAAGGCCGATGAAAACGCGTGCGTTCAAATAGAAATAAAAACCCTATTTTAACCCTTTCGTGACAAGTGACCCTTTTGGCGGTTCATAAAGTTTGTTGCTAAATGACAAGTGACCCGAATGGCGATTCATAAACAATTTTATATATTTAATAAGATCTACAGCAATTGGGGGAAACTTTTAATTTATTTTTGAAATGTGAATAATTTTATAAGCTAATGCTTCAAACCGTTTGTTTATTGCATTTATAGATCGCTCAAAAATCAATTTTACAAAGTAAATTAATTTTTATTGATATAAATGAGATCCCTGATATATTTTTTCAATGATATGATTTTAATGGTGGTGATTTTTTTTGTATGATTACCACTATAAATGCCTCATTTATATAATATCGAAAACGATATGTTTATGTATTTCTTTTTTATTTGTTTAAGGTTACATAAAGAAACTATATATTTTTGTTAATTTCAACATGATATATTTTGATTACGTTACTAAGATAACAAAAAATTATTTCAAGTTTTTTAATATTCTGAAAATCAATTTTAGAAATTCTTTAACAATAAAACAAAGTTTTTGTAAAATTTTGACTAGCACTTTTTATTTTATACTCTTTTAATCAATCATGATCCTAGTTTGTTATTCTTTTAATCGATCATGATCCTAGTTTTTTATTCTTTTAATCGATCATGATCCTAGTTCGTTATTTTACGCGCAGTCATACAGCTGTTTTTAACTCAGTCGCGAAAGGGTTAAATGTTAACAATTTTAAAAGAAGAAAAAAATGAATAAAAAAATTGCATAAGCTTTAAATATGTTATCAGCTAAATTTTTATCCTTACAAAAAAAATTTTTAAGGCATATGTGATACCCCATAAACTGTGATGCCCGGGGCAAACTACTTCAATTGCCCCTCCCTCTTGGCGGCCCTGGAAATGTGGATCGCTTCTCGCACACTAAAATTCTTTTAAATAGAAATACTCAACGTATTTCAACTTAATCAACTTATATTTATGTTCAAAGTAGATAAAATGGCACCCATTTTATTCATCTCATTTTTTGAAAAAATAAATCATTTATACCCAACTAGATTTTCAAATAACAATTATATTCAACCAAAAACATATTATTCTTCGACTAAGTTCTCGATTGCAATCAGAGAACTTAAGTTATAGAACACGCTATTGGATAATGATTTAAAAAAAAATTCTTCCTTTGGTTAATTTAAAAATTAATAAACAATATTATTACAATATAATTGATAATTGACAACGAACGACTTATGAAACTTTAAAATAGGAGTAATCACTTGTTTTTTTCTTATTATTTACTTTATTTTTGATCATATTTATTTTTGATTTTAATCTGAACCGTCACTTACCCTTGATGTTCATATTTTATCGCATTTTTATTTATTTTTAAATACGAAATTTTAATAAATAAAAGCTAGAAAAAAAAAATTATATATATACCGTAAAATCGCTTAAGTTCTGTCACTTAAGCTTTGAATATTTATTTATCACGCATAAATAAATAAATTTCAATTTTTTTTGAAACATACAAAAATTATATTGATAATTGGTATTGTAAAAATAAAAAAATGAAAAAATATAAACTACCCAGTGGGAAAAAAGACGTCGAAAACACGTCTTTAAAAGTTTTATTTACGATGTCTTTAAGACGTCTTTTTTTAATCGATCATGCAAATCTAAAAGACATATTTTTTCGACATCGAAAAGACGTCTTTTTTTAACTTAATCTCGTCATCAAAAGACATAAAAAATGCGTCTTTAAGACGCCTTTTTTTAGTCAAATATACAAATCTAAAAGACATTTTTTTTCGACATCGAAAATGCGTCTTTTTTGTCTTTATCTGTAATGAAAAGACATAAAAAAAGCATCTTTAAGACGTCTTTGTTTATCAATTATGCACTTCTAAAAAAGTGTTTTTTTTCGGGGTCGGAACGACTTTTTTGCCATACTTATTAGCATACTATAGTATCCTATACACTATAGTATTCCTACTTTTCTTATATGAAAAGCTATATTTTTCAACTGAAAATGATAATAGCTCTTCATACAAAGTATGACAAAAAGCTTTTTCCGATGCCGAGAAAAAAACCTCTTTTAAATGTCAATATAAAAGAGGAAGTATTTTCTACATCTTTTATATGTTTAAATATAGGAGAATAATTTATAAATAAAACAATAGTATTGT